TCAGTGGAGATCGCCGACTCTGCCCCCTGTACTTGAATTAGTGGATTCTTTCATCCAGTCTCCCGGATCTGTGCCACTGCCACCAGATTGTCCTTCACCTCGGAGCAGCGGACTACTGGAAGCATTAGTTTATGAGGCTAATTCACTGGGCAATTCAAGGAATCAGTCTTCTGAAAAGAGTAAAAGTTCATCTATGATTTCTCATAACAATGTAGCTCACAGTTCTGCTTTGAAAACATCCTCTACTGAGTTCAGAGGCTATCATGACGCTAAGTCCACACTGGGTAATTCAACGGGTACAATTTTAAGTGAGTGCACTCCTACGAGTGTCACTGGAAGTTCATTGGAAGAAAATATACCTGGTGAGAATCAGTTTCCCTTTCTATCAGCATTTGCTATGGTGCAACTGTTGCAAACCTTAAAATGTTCCTGAAAATTATAAATATTGTGGCTGTTACAAGTGATTGAAGTATTGACTATCCTAATATTTATTCTCTTATATTAACCCATGTAGTTTCTGAATGAGCTCTAGTGTCAGGAATCTTGTCATTAATTTACCATAAAAGCCAGAATGAAGAATATACGTGTCCAGTGATCTTGAGCTCCCGAGAGGTTAGAACTTAGAAGTTTATCTACACTTGGCAGAATAAGAATGCACGTTCATTTAATCTTAATCCTTGTTTAGTGAACGGGAGAGTTAACTGGGGCATGGCTCTCCATAATAACCGTAAATGACTCATTTATTGTTTGAATTGTGCTCTATTCAGTAAACAAATTCAGTTCTGCAGAAGGCTAATGATACTCTCTTGAATAACTTCTGTGTAGTGAACGGAAAGTTGTTCTTATTTCCAGTTAAGTTTCCACTGGAGGGTCTTTTTTCTTGGTTTACTTTATAATCGACATTAAGAAAAAGAAAAAGAAAATATAGTTGTAAAAGCTAATATACTTTTTGGGAGGGAATTTGAACATTGGATTTGTCAACCCTATGTTGAATATTTTATTGCTTTAATAATCCCAACTTGCCTGGTCCCTTCCCAAGTTCTGATACCACAGTTCGGCAAGTATAAGAATTGAGTGTGGAAATGCTTGGCCAAGTTGCAATTACGTGTAAGGTTATGGCGTTGTGTTTCATATGCAGTGTTACTACATGTAGCCTCTTTAGTCTTGGATAACCTTTCTAGTTGACTCGTGAAATATCTTTCACCCTTCGTTTGATTTTATTAATTAGATTTGTGTTAAATACTACACATCTGTGGCTTCTGATGCCTTCTTGAGATGGCATAAACTAGGGCTGCCCACTTGATGCACATCTGTCTGCACATTGGTAGCAAGTGAATGGAAATTGATTCAGTTTCTGTTGATAATGGTGGTAGATGAAACACGGGCAAAAACAGAACAAATTATCAAAAAAATTTATTTGACTTTTGAGAACCATGATTGATGGTGAACTGGTTATGAGGGAACATAGGAACTTTCCACCATCTCTGTTTTTGTATTTTTCTTTTCTGGAGAAAATAGAGCAAGGGAGGAGCGGACAGTAGCGTTACAAGATCAAAGGCATTTGGGGACAGATTGTAGTGGAGGACTGAGAATGATGGTAATTGAGGCTTGGTTGCTGCGGATGGGCAACTAGAGGAAATCGAAGGGTTTGGGAAAGGAAATTTGGTGTAGAATTCTGTCTTTGACGAACGCATTTTTCTTTTCTAATCTTCTTTGAATAGGCTACTTGCATACAGAATGTCAATTCAGTCTGGTGATTGAAATATTCTTGTGCTTATTTTATTTTAGAATGTGATGAATTGCTGTGACAAAACTTAAAAAGTTCACATTGTTGAACAAGATGAGCCTTTATCCACATTTTCAAAAGTTCTGAAGTCATATGCACCACTTTTTTCCTTATTTTTGTCTATTTTCACGCTTCATTTGACCACACAGTTTTCCACGCTCCTTCCTGATGATCTTGCTGTCTTTCAGTTGGAGAGTTTAAAAACTTTCTCATACATTAGTTTTTAGGAACTTGTGTTGATTATCTGAGCAGGACATGAATTTGTTCTCTTATTTTGTCTCTTGCCATAGGGATTGAACAAAGTTGGACCCTGGATGGAGAGAGAGGAGAAAATCTGAATCAATTGCATTTTTCCGGGATTGATGCTGTAATTGGTTCTTTCTGTTTAAAGGAACATGGCACTGCGATGGATGATATAACAGCTCTTCTTGGAGATGATTTAGGCACTGAAGTAAAAGACACGACCCCTGGAACTTCTGCTTTGAGTTCTGAATGGGGTCTTACCTGGAATAACATGCCTGCTGTCTCCCAAATATCTGAACTTCCATGAATAATGCTCTTTACAATTGATTTCTGATCGTCATTCAGTCTGTGCATCTCAGATTTTTTTCTTGATCATCATCTTGATCATATGCCTTTTATCTCAACATGGGGGTATATGAATCACGCAAACATTCTGAAGATTTGGTAGAATACCCTTGCATTGTCCTCAGTATCCAGGCACTGAGATTTGATAGTTTTTGAAGTATGTCTTTTACAAATGTACTCATCTAGCATAACATTTTATTCATCGTATAGGATTTTGTTCTCTTCTTTCGAGGTCCTGTTCAAGGAAAACATTAAGTGGTGAGAAACTGAATCCTCTTATTTGCTTTAATTGGCGAGAAGGTGAATACATTCTTTTTCTTATAATGCACAGGTAACAGTTTAGCTGACACCCCTTTTTCTTCTCTATATTATCATTGTCGTACTTAAAGGGTATTCACCTATTATCCACTTATGAACCAAATGTTCAAAACTTCTAGTGAGCAAATAGGGGTTTTCTAATTTTGCACTTTGCCGAATATTGTCATGTATCATGCTTTCTTAAGCATCCTTTTCCAAGTTGAGTACGAGTACACCAGTTTTTTGTGATTTTATGAGGCACAAGAATTTATTTATCTTAAAGTGATGATGTAGCATATGTCCTAAAGTCCTGCCGATATACATGAGCTATCTAAACCTCGATGAGATCTTCATGGCTACATGGTAGACGGAAGTGGACCCTATTTCTGATATGGTTCCACATCTAACCATAATAGCTTATTTCCAATATTTAACACGAATAATCGCATACCCAACCCCTCATTTAGAAACACTGTCCACAATAAGATTCGTGAACTAAGTTTTGAAATCAAAGACTGAAAGGGTCTATCCTAAACACATTATACATACCATCCCTCCACCCATTTTCTTTCTTGTTTACCTTTTCTTGCTCTCTCCATCTCCATTTCGGGTTGGAGAACGAACCCCAGAGTATAAGCTGCACCTATTGAAGTTTTCAGTGCTTACTTGGTGGCTCCTGCGAGTTCAAGAGGTGGCTCTCGTCCTATGGCGTAGCACTTTGTCCCGCATAGCACTTTGTCCCCGATTTCCGACTGGCAACCTGGCTCTGATACCATTTGTAACGACCCGGGTCCCACTTAACGAGCTGTCCTGGCCGTTAGATCGACGACGTACTGTCCTCACTGTACCAACATGGGTCTTTTTCAGCATGCTTTGTCCTCACTCGCACGCTCCCCGAGAAAACTTCCCAAGGGGGTCACCCATCATAGAATTGCTCCAAGCCAAGCACGCTTAACTGTGGAGTTTCCAACGATGGACTTCCGGAAAAGAAGGTGCACCTTGTGATATGAGTAGTACCTATCAAATCTCTTAAACTTTCTTGGTCTGGGGTATTACAATCACCCCCCGTTAGACTCGCGACGTCCTCGTCGCGCTTGATCCATCTGAGGATCTGTTGCCAGGCGTTGGGATTCTAGAGGTGGCTCCTACGAGTTCAAGAGGTGGCTCCCGTCCTATGGCGTAGCACTTTGTCCCGCATAGCACTTAGTTCCCGATTTCCGACTGGCAAACGGCTCTGATACCATTTGTAACGACCCGGGTCCCACTTAACGGGCTGTCCTGGCCGTTAGATCGACGACGTACTGTCCTCACTGTACCAACATGGGTCTTTTCAGCATGCTTTGTCCTCACTCGCACGCTCCCCGAGAAAACTTCTCAGGGGGTCACCCATCATAGAATTGCTCCAAGCCAAGCACGCTTAACTGTGGAGTTTCCAACGATGGACTTCCGGAAAAGAAGGTGCACCTTGTTGGTATGAGTAGTACTTATCGAATCTTTTTAAGCTTTCTTGGTCTGGGGTATTACACCTGCAATCCCACTATTAAAGCAATTTTTTTTCTAGCAAGTCTGCTAAGCTTAGGGTTACATGCAGATGATAGCACCATAGGGAATCCCATTATCAGGTGAACGAGAATTGAACCGAATATAGAAGTTAATTTAGATGACCTAGAATCAGCAAACAGGAGATTACCACATTGGATTTACGAACAAAGAGCTTTGAAAGATGGTTCACAAAATAACATGTTAGCTTCAAAATGTGCTCTGCTGAAATCTTACACTTGCAATGTTTGGCATTATTACTGCAAGAAATGTTATAATCACTGCAACACAGACAGAATACCAGAGGAGTAATATCAGTACTAATTCTATTCTTAGCTAAGAATAGAACACCTGGTAGAGATGCCATTGTCATAATAAACAATCTAGATAAAAATATACGAAATGCTAATGTGCATTTTTACAGTGGCAGCATCAATCTTCATGCAGCTTCGCTTATTGTGGAGTTAAGAAAGAGAGACCAACTTTTTGAAATCTGGATCTCTGCCATCCACTTATCACGCTGAGTATTATAAATATTGAGATATAAATTACCTGCTGCATCAGTGACAGAAATTTATGAGTTAATGGCTGAAGGGTTGAGAGATAAGCTGCTGAAGTTTTCAACGTCGTCGACTTCTTCTTCACTCTTACAACAGGCTGCAGCTGAAGGATGAAGAGCTCATCTCTGGCTAAGTAGAAATTTTCTACAGTTAGTCACAAAGTAGATAAATTGCTTACTAAGAACTGATTTTCCTCTAAGGTCCTTCAATGAGAGAGAAATTTGCAAATATCACAGTTCTGATACTTCAGCAGCTAACCTGTAACCACAAAAGTTAATTCAATTAGACGGAATAAACTTTTATGCTGCATTATCACCTGTTTATAAAATCATAATATCCTGTAAATTGCTATTTGCATTCCACAACAGCTAAACCAAGCCCATTGTTAAACTACAAATTGAGGAAATGAAACACATCAAAGGAGTTGCTTGGTGACATCTTATCCAAATGAAAAAAAGATAAAGATAAAAAGGATGAAGGTAGAAAGGGGACATCCTCCCTACCTCAACAAAATCTTCCCCATCGGGGGGGACAAAAAAATAAAATGATATTCAATCAGGACAAGAGTACATGGATATCGATCTGCACATGAACAAATAGATAGTTCTAGCCTAAATACAATTACCTTGTGAGACATGGTTATCTCAATTAAGGGCAATGTGCACTTCTACTAAAAAATACTTGCTAAAGCTCTTTCTTGATAGCAGGAATAAAGAAATATAACTTATATCAATGGATTGGAAGACAACGGCAAGGGAACAATAAGTTACATTCCATTTAAGCCCTTGTTTGTCTCCCATTCTTTTAGAACTTTTTTTTCTACGTATTCATTTTCAACTACACATTCATTTAATAAAATATTCTACACGTAAACCCAAAACTTTTCTATACTTTTTAACCATACATTCTCCAAAAATTCACTATTCAAAAAAATGCTTTTCCCAAAAAGGGCCCACCAAATGGGGCTAAGTCTACTCATCTTTTAATCCAAATGTCTATGTACGGCTCCCATCTAGGCCTCTCTCTGTCTTTACTTTCAACTTACTGCATTTAGAGAACAGCAGCATGCTAGCATGTCATGCAACATGGAATTTTTTTTTTAAATGTTCAATAAACCATACAGAATATGAGAACAGTTTGCTGTATTGATGCATTTTCCATATGGATTATATCTTGCAATTATATTACCTCTCCTACACAAGTTCGGTAAAGGCCGAACCTCCCTCAACTGCATAAGTGCTATAAGACTCACTTAGCATCCCATAAACAAAGCTACATAGATAACGAAGCAACAGTGCACATGCACAAGTCATTAAGAATTGTGTGTGCATAGAGTTGTTCTACCAGGAGAGGAAAATATTTGTCTTCCTGTTTCTGATGTTGCAATTTTCTAGAACTAAAAATAGTTTGGCTAGCTTAGAGCAAACTGAGCACATGAATTACATCCTTTTAGGCTATTCAGTAAAAACAGATGTTCTCTAAGCACCTCAAAGTCAACTTTGCACATTCCTATTTCAAGTTGGTTTAGCCTTTTTCAAAACCCTAGGATTTATTATTATTTTCTACAAGGGAATTGAATACTTATACCTCTCTAATCGTTCTGAAACCACTTCACAGTATTTCTGGTACCCCCTTTTGGGATTGCACGTACTTGTTAGCTTAGTAGACAACAGCACCTTTCCCGTTCCATCACTGGACATTTGAAGCCCACAATCAACACAGAGAGATTCCAAATCTGATTCCTATATGAAGAGCACAAGATAATATGTAAGTCCTGCAATTGTCAAACATGCTATATTTATCCGTAAATAAATTCAAACAAGAATGCCAACAAATGCAGGCGGGCCTTTATCTTGAGAAACAGAGAGACAGAGACGACATACTTGCATCATCAGGAGCTTGGACAGGTGCGCCAGTGGATATGGTTGAAGCTTGTATCCTCCATAATTTACGCAAGACAAGGCTAGTGCTCGTATCTATTATATAGTCAATAAAGCAAAGAGGAAAACAATTAGGATTATATTATTGTTACAAGTAGCATAATAAATTGTATGCTGATCCAATCAACAGATCAACAACCACCTACGCGTTGTTCCCACTAAAGTTGAAACAACTACATAAATCCTTCTGTATTACTTAGTCTAGACCCATGTTCTAACTATTGATAGGTCCAACGTAATAAAATCGTTTTTAACCACAACCTCGTTAAATTTCAGAAGTTCACATCATACTCTGCTAGTAAATTGCCACGTAAATTTGGTTATAAACCACCAAAAAGCACCAAATGAAAATAACCAAGTAATGAGTTGAACTGAAAATATTATTACTCTCTACCTTTCATTAAGTACAATGACCATTGACCGAAGAAAGGTTTCTGCATAAAATTAAGAAAATGAGCTCTTGTTTGACAACCATTATTTCAAAACTTTTTAATTCTCATACTCATTTTTAACCACACATTTACACAATATAATATTTTGCACGTAAACCCAAAAACTTTTTCCACTTTTTAACCACACATTCTCCAAAAAATCACTATCCAAAACTCCATTTTCTCAAAAGAATGGCCATCAAACAAGGGCTGAATGAATAAAGCATTGTTAAAGAAAAAGAATAGAAGAGAATATAGCATTGGTTATGTTAAAGGGTATTTAAGTCTTTTATGTANTTTTAGACTCCAATTTTTCTACAACTTGTTCTCTAAGGTTTATATATATATGGCACGACTTGTATAGAAGAACACAACTGAGAGAGATTCATACAACATATTGAGAGTTTTAAATTTCAATTGAGTGCATTGAGATCTTTTAAACACAATTGCTATTGATTATAGTGTATTTCTCCTTCTCTACCCGTGTTTTTTTCTCGTATTGGGTTTCCACGTAAATTTTTGTGTTTATTTTCTTCTTATTTTTTTCATTATCATCATTATCACTCGATCCAAATTCATAACAATTGGTATTAGAGCAATCCTGATATCTTGTTTGTTCCGTAACATAGTAGAACTAGATTAAAGATAAAGAGGTAGAAACAGATAAAAGTAACTTGAGGTGGTGGCAAAATATTTAACTTCCTTGGACTTGTCTGGAGAGGTAATTCTATAATAAATAAATGGAGAAAATGAACCAACCAATTCCAGATTTATTGAACTCTAGCTTGTTTATAAAATCCATATTTTCCCATTTCATTTTATGGTTTTTATCAATGACAACTGTGTATTATTATTCTAATTATTCAACACTTTCTAAAATTTGATTGCATAATGTAACTCATATTTTAAATTTTAGATTTGTAACTCAAATTTAATAAATTGTAGTAGTTTCAGCATTTATTTTTTTAAGGTGGAATTAATTTTATTCTTTATATTTGAATAGAAATATATGTTTTCAGATGGCCAACACTCTAATATTACATACCCATTTACAGGTGTTAAGTTGTTAAAAAAAAAAAAACATACATGAACAGAAGCACTGACAAGTCATTTAGAAATTAAGTGTTAGTATTCTTCAAAAGAGTCCTTGAGATAAGCTTGTTGCAAAATTAGAAGTTGATAACTGTTAAAGGGTATTTAAGTCTTTTATGTAATACGTAGGGTTTCCTAGGTTTTTATTATAAATAGTGTGAGAGGTTAACACAATAGTTAAGTCCTTCTTATTCTTTTACTTCAACAGGTTGTTCCAACAGCTAGAATGACCAACATATGATTGAAATAAAGAAAAAATAAAAATACCAAAGAGTAGGAGACAATTATTGATCAATTATATCGTTGAAAAGGCTAATAGACTTATCAAGTCATCCCATTATCAAGCTTAATATTTGTAGGACAAAGTATCAAAATAAGATGACCCGTCTTCCCCCCCCACGTCACTACCTTTTTTCTTCCCAATTCACTTTCACTCTTGCCTTCCAAGAGGACGCGAGAATTTCAATAGATATGAGATCCATACCCTATTTTTGTGCACACATTTGTACAAGCAAGGTCATCTTTGGATGGAATTCTTTTCTCACCTCAATCGGAAAAGGTTCCATAGGGGTCATGAAATTCCACATCAATGTGAAGCCAGAAAAATAAATGGATGTGGAAAAAACCCTACCTCACTGATGTAAGGTTCAATAATGCAATACTGCAGGTAGGATGCCTCCGCCTCCGTAGTGTAGATTAATTGCTTGTAATTTCCCAAACGGAAAAATCTGCTCACAAGGGTAATTAACAGTTGAACAAAGAAAAGAATAATGTAGCCAAATTAGACCAAAAAACAACAGAGAGAGAATATCAAGTGGTGATTTAAAAATAGAATAAAGCTATAAAAATTTCAGTGAATTTAACCTCAATATTCTCCGGGCAAAACACATCTCTTTTGACTTCATGATTACAAAAGGAACACGACGGAACCACAAAGACAGTGACTCGCTCTGTAGGTTAGAGAATGCCAAGTAAATTAATGAACCAGCTCAGGTTATGAACTTAAGAATCAGAAGCAGGAGAGATTAAAGATATAAACCACTACCTGGTTGTCAGAACAGAGATGGAGAAGCACATAATATGAATGGAATTCTGATTCATCCTTATAAATAGAATCTGGAGCTCGATTTGCTTCATAAAGACTAAATAGAGATGTAAGTGCTTTGGTAAGCTGCTCCATGTTGAGGTGACAAATAGAAGCAGTATCTGGACTGCCACATTTAGGAAGCTTGTGATGTGAAAGGATGTGAAATTTGATCTGTATGATATAAAGCAAAAGAATCTGCTTTTATCAAAGTTTGAAAGTTGGAATATTGGAACCAATAAATTGCATGATCATATTAAAGGAACATGCCAGCTTACAAAAAAATAAATGCTGAAATGATATTTTTTCTTACTATCTTTATCATATATGCAAATAAATTATAGATACAAAAAAGCAGAACGCATTCCAGATTATGAACAGAATCTATGTGAGCGGAGGTGCAGGTCACATAATTTCTTCTTGCATGCCTAATAGCCACAATATAAACGAAATAACTCTGTCATGATTTATTAACTTAAACAATGAAGAGAGAATGAGCCAGGAGTTTATGACAGACTGAAACATATTTCTAAACAAGCCTCAGATATTTACATAAAGTGGACCAAACAAGCAAACAATTAATAAGGTTGTGATTCCATGGGAGACTTCCTTCCAATTATCTAGTTATATAAGTAGCTATTTATTACATAGTGTTAAAGGAGTCACTACCATGCACTACAAAACCGACAGTGACTTCTAATACATTTCAAAGAATAACTGTCACTCGAACAGCTAAATATACGAGCCAGAATTCCAACTAAAATTCTACTCCTTCGACAATTTTCTATATCCACAAATTCCTTCAACCCTTACAGAGCTCCCAAAATTTCAGTAATAGTGATTGAGGATATTTAAAGGGAATGACGATTTGAATGGTCAGGCCACGTCTTGCATAAACTTAAATGACTCTTATTCAAAAGAGCGGCACAACCAGTAGAACAAATTATAAGAGGGAAAGGTGGATCAAAATTATCGTGCCCTGATGTGGTTGCAAAAGGGTTGATTTCGTTAGATCTTTCAGTAGACATACGGATCAGTCCATTAGAGTAGCGAAATAGGATTCCTTTGGCTGCTATCATATTTACTGGGAATCAGGTATAGTCTTGGTGTGATTTTATTAGTCATTTGCTAAACTAGGATTTGGGTTCTTATAGAAATTCTGAATAACATTAGTATGATGCATTGTTCTGTGTTTCTTTGAAAAAGTAGAAACAGCAATAAGCGCAAAAGTATAAATTCCCAAGTCTCAGGATGTTGGACATACCTATAACCTAATTTTCATGGAAATTCAAATAAATCCCCATGTAAATAAATATCATTCTTGCCAAAAATCGATAGAAAGAACTCGTACATTATGAGGGTGTTTGGTGGGGATTAAAATTAGATTTTTAGTACATTGTGATAGAAATTTTTAAAATGTGTGGTTGAAAAATTATGGGACCCATGAAAGACGTGGTTAATATTGATTGCTATATTTTAACTTGGATTAAAATCAGATTTTAATCTGGACCAAACATGGGCTATAACTAAAAGTTAAAAATATGCTGCGTGAAATCAACAAAAAAAAGGTAGAAACTAATTGATGCAGAAAGTTGAAATTATTTGTCATTAGCACCTACAACTAAACCTCCAACGGTGTGTCATGAGATGCCTATGCAATAAAATAATGGCATATAGGATCAATCTAGATGCATAATTACCGCTAAAAAGCAAAGACGACTATCATTGACATAGAGTTACATCAAAGAACTGCAATCTATGGCATCATATTAAAATCTGCCCATGAGTAGACAATTTTTTGCTAACTTAATTAGACATGAGATATTAAACCACATTCAGACAATGGCATACCATTCTTTCGTAAATATGTATCGCTTGATCATTGGTAACATTTTGCATGGTAAGATCTTGCCTTATGGATCTTGTCCTATCAAAAATAAAGTCATGAACCACCTCAAAACGACAGTCACTCTTCAGCAAGTTGAGAACATAATTTAGAGTATCTTCCAAGACTGAGACAGGCCGAACATCAGAAGCTTGGACATTATTTGCGCTTATAGTTCTGCAAAACTGAAAGGAGATAAGAAGAAAATTGGTATAAAATCAAGTTATACGGGAAAATATTAAAATTTACAACTTAAAATTTGAAAGGAGCTTAAAATAGGTTTCTTGCTTACAAACATCAAGGGCTCACTTAAAATTAACAAAAGGTAAATTTGTTTTCCCCATTTTTCAAAAACAAAAATGGAACAATCTTGAAAGCAAAAACCATAAAATAGACATATCCATTTCCATTTCCATCCGCCACTTATTTGTTTATCAGTCAATTCATCCAAAAGTGTTCTGTTTCTTGATGTTGGGAAAATAATGCCGCAACACAGAAAAAACGAAAGTCTATGTAGAACTGTAGAAAAGAAAAAATACAAATTTATAAGTGGAGAATCAATTTATTACTCAAGTTATAAACTTTAACGGTCGAACTCAAACACTTAACAACTAGTGGAAAAAATCTAATTGATCTCAATAACAACTTTGAAAACATTCCAATAAAAGCCCTTGTTATTTTAAAATAATCTATCAGAAATAGAACAACTATAAAAATCGGAGAACACTCCAATACGATCATTGATTCACAGTATACCTTTTTAACAGCGAGAGTAGATGAAGTTTTAGCAGGATTTCCATGAAGCCTCTCAAACACAGCTAAATCTCGCAGCCTCTCACGTCGTGCCCGTTCCTCAACTGCTCTTCACGAATAACAGAACACAAAATACTTAATAAACACCATCACTTTAACATCAGAAATCAAAGAAAAATGAAGTAAAAAAAAAACAAAAAAAAAAATTTTGTGGCGAGACCAGGGCACATAAAAGGGCAAGTTCCAACCAAATTTGGAATATCTTGGTGTTCATCAATATTATCTTCGTTGCCCGAATTTACGGTGGCGGATTTATTGGCATGAGCAATTCTAGTATTAGAATTAGGGTTTAAAGGTTTATGGGATTTGGTTGAAGAAGAAGACGAATAGTTTTTTGTGATCATGGGTCGTTGTCGTTGACCCCTCCGATCAGCCATCGCTGAGGGGTTTGAAGCTCAAGTCTACAATTTTCTTGCAAATAATTGTGTGTGATTCAACCATGAGGACCTCCAAAGTTCCAGATTGGTTTAGTTAAAAATAGGAATAAGGGTAATTAGACGTAACTTTCCCACATTTCACTCTGAACGTTCTTAGATTTTATTTTTTTGGCATTTTTAATCTTATTTTTACCTTGAAAAAAATGTTATTTTCATTTATTTTTTCAATTAAAAATTATAAAATGATGAATATACCATTCTTTTTAAATAAAACAAAAAGGAAAAGAAAAAATTAATTGCAACTATTCTCCCAATTTTTTTTTATTTAAATAGGAGAGTATCTTAATCATTTCATAATTTTTTATTGAGAAATTTGATGAAAAGATAGAAATGATGATTTGACAATCAAATGTGTAATTAAGGGTGCAAATGCCAAAAAAATGAAAAGTATTGACGTTTTCGCAATAATAGTAAAATGTAGGGACTTTTTAATAATTTATTTGAGATCATATGAGCTTTTTAAAAAAATTTGGGGTTGTACTTAATTTTTCATTTTTATTTTTGTTTTATTTAAGGAAGAGTAAATTCGTTATTTCAAAATTTTTAATTGAGAAAATTGATAAAATGACATTTTGCGCAATGAAATGTAAAAATAAGGATGAAAATGTTAAAAAATAAAAGGAAATCACGTTTTCCATAACAATGGTGAAAGGTGTTGATGTTATATTAAATAAAATTTTAAGTTAAGACAACTATTAATTTAATTTTAATGGGATAAGTTTCATTAGAATTTAAAAAAAAAAATTATAAAATTTTTTAAATAATATTTTTTTTGTGAAATTTATATAATTTTTAAAGATTTTTATGGAATTAATGGAAGTATTTTGTAATCTTTACTTTCATTTAAAATTTTTATAAAATTCATTTGATTGAACAAATTCGGTTGGACCTAATGCAACATAATGAAGTTCCACCATAGGGGGAGGTTGGATCTCCACCATCCCCATACAAGAAAAATATTTTTGAAAAAAAAAATAAAATTAAGTCACCTTAATTAGAAAATATACCACCAATCAATATATTTAAAATGTAATTAAAATTAGTCTTTTTTTTATATAAAATGGCTTATCACAATAATAGAAGTTTCGCTGCAAATGATTTACTCATTATATGTTTTGGAAATCATCTATAGCTTCAATTCCAATAAAATCACGTTACAAAAAATGATAATAAATACAATGGACCTCGAATTCTACGAGAATTTTGTGAATAGACATCATTCCGCTCCCAAGAGGCAAGAACATGTCCTATGCAACATCTATGAGCCAATATGGTCGGCTTTAAATAGAAATGTTAATTTTCGACTTTAAATTGTGGAAGTTAGTACAACATTACAACTTATAGGAACAAATGAGCCAACAAATAATAGTTATATTATTTAAAATTCATGTAAATCACCATATATTAATCCCCTGTTTGGGGCACATATTTAATCCAAAAAAATGAAAAATTTAGCCTTTCGAAATGAAAATGCAGCCACTTATTATGCCCTTCATCTCCCAAGTGGGACCCAAATTTGACAACTAACGGACATATTTTTTCTTCAAAAGAACTGAAAATGTGCTCCAAACATATAATAAGTGTTGAAGGATGTATAACCACACGTTTGAGATGTCGTTAGGGGTTATGGACCACCCAGGTCCAAGACGGCTCATGTTATG